GAAATGAGTACTAGCACTTTATTTTTTTCTAGCATTAAAAAAAATTGTGATTTTTTCCTTGGGATCCAAGTAAGCAGAGGAATTATTATTTCTGACAGGTCACAGACAGCATTGCAGATACACCAAGATATCTGGATGTGTACATTCTTCAAGTAGTAAAAGTATCTGAAAAATACCCAGGTAAGTCTCATGTCAGGCAGCAAGATTGTTTTTCCCCACACATAAATATACCCAGGTAAGTCTCTCATGTCAGGCAGCAAGATTGTCTTTCCCCACACATATATACACCGGTAAGTATCTCATGTCAGGCAGCAAGATTGTCTTTCCCCACACAAATATACCCAGGTTAGTCTCTCATGTCAGGCAGCAAGATTGTCTTTCCCCACACATATATACCCAGGTAAGTCTCTCATGTCAGGCAGAAAGATTGTCTTTCCCCACACATATATACCCAGGTAAGTCTCTCATGTCAGGCAGAAAGATTGTCTTTCCCCACACATATATACCCAGGTAAGTTTCTCACATGTCAGCTGCAAGATTGTCTCCCCCCACACATATATACCCAGGTAAGTCTCTCTTACGTGACAGGCTGAAAGATTTTTTACTTTCCACACATATATACCTAGCTAAGTCTCTCACATGTCAGCTGCAAGATTGTCTCCCCCCACACATATATACCTAGGTAAGTCTCTATCACAAAACAGGTTGCAAGCTGTCTAGAGGAGAACTTGTGACAGTAGTGATCTAGGATAGCCATCTGTCTAGAGGAGGACTTGTGACAGTAGTGATCTAGGATAGCCATCTATCTAGAGGTGGACTTGTGACAGTAGTGATCTAGGATAGCCATCTGTCTAGAGGAGAACTTGTGACAGTAGTGATCTAGGATAGCCATCTGTCTAGAGGATGACTTGTGACAGTAGTGATCTAGGATAGCCATCTGTCTAGAGGATGACTTGTGACAGTAGTGATCTAGGATAGCCATCTGTCTGTCTAGAGGAGGACTTGTGACAGTAGTGATCTAGGATAGCCATCTGTCTAGAGGACGACTTGTGACAGTAGTGATCTAGGATAGCCATCTGTCTAGAGGAGGACTTGTGACAGTAGTGATCTAGGATAGCCATCTGTCTAGAGTAGGACTTGTGACAGTAGTGATCTAGGATATCCATCTGTCTAGAGGAGGACTTGTGACAGTAGTGATCTAGGATAGCCATCTGTCTAGAGGAGAACTTGTGACAGTAGTGATCTAGGATAGCCATCAGTCTAGAGGATGACTTTTGACAGTAGGGATCTAGGATAGCCATCTGTCTAGAGGAGGACTTGTGACAGTAGTGATCTAGGATAGCCATCTGTCTAGAGGAGGACTTGTAACAGTAGTGATCTAGGATAGCCATCTGTCTAGAGGAGGACTTGTGACAGTAGTGATCTAGGATAGCCATCTGTCTAGAGGAGGACTTGTGACAGTAGTAATCTAGGATAGCCATCTGTCTAGAGTAGGACTTGTGACAGTAGTGATCTAGGATAGCCATCTGTCTAGAGGAGGACGTGTGACAGTAGTGATCTAGGATAGCCATCTGTCTAGAGTAGGACTTGTGACAGTTGTGATCTAGGATAGCCATCTGTCTAGAGGAGAACTTGTGACAGAAGTGATCTAGGATAGCCATCTATCTGTCTAGAGGATGACTTATGACAGTAGTGATCTAGGATAGCCATCTGTCTAGAGTAGGACTTGTGACAGTAGTGATCTAGGATAGCCATCTGTTTAAAGGATTACTTGTGACAGTAGTGATCTAGGATAGCCATCTGTCTAGAGTAGGACTTGTGACAGTAGTGATCTAGGATAGCCATCTGTCTAGAGGAGAACCTGTGACAGTAGTGATCTAGGCTAGCCATCTGTCTAGAGGAGGACTTGTGACAGTAGTGATCTAGGATAGCCATCCGTCTAGAGGAGAACTTGTGACAGTAGTGATCTAGGATAGCCATCTGTCTAGAGGGGGACTTGTGACAGTAGTGATCTAGGATAGCCGTCTGTCTAGAGGAGGACTTGTGACAGTAGTGATCTAGGATAGCCATCTGTCTAGAGGAGAACTTGTGACAGTAGTGATGTAGGATAGCCATCTGTGTAGAGGAGAACTTGTGACAGTAGTGATCTAGGATAGCCATCTATCTAGAGTAGGACTTGTGACAGTAGTGATCTAGGATAGCCATCTGTCTAGAGGAGAACTTGTGACAGTAGTGATCTAGGATAGCCATCTGTCTAGAGGAGAACTTGTGACAGTAGTGATCTAGGATAGCCATCTATCTAGAGTAGGACTTGTAACAGTAGTGATCTAGGATATCCATCTGTCTAGAGGAGAACTTGTGACAGTAGTGATCTAGGATAGCCATCTGTCTAGAGGAGGACTTGTAACAGTAGTGATCTAGGATAGCCATCTGTCTAGAGTAGGACTTGTGACAGTAGTGATCTAGGATATCCATCTGTCTAGAGGAGGACTTGTGACAGTAGTGATCTAGGATAGCCATCTGTCTAGAGGAGAACTTGTGACAGTAGTGATCTAGGATAGCCATCCGTCTAGAGGAGGACTTGTGACAGTGGTTATTTTGAATAGCCATTTGCACACACAAACACACACAATCCATGTGCTACTACATCTTTACCCACACACAAAATCCATGTGCCACACTACATCTGTCTCCCCCCACACACACACAATCCATATGCCACTACATCTGTCCTCACACACACACAACCCATGTGCCACTACATCTGTCCCCACACATACACACACACACAATCAATGTGCTACTACATCTGTGCCCACACACACAAAATCTATGCGCCACTATATATTTCCCCACACACACACAATCCATCTGTCACTACATCTTTCACCACACACACACAATCCATGTGCTACCACATCTGTCCCCCCACACACAAAATCCACATGCCACTACATCTTTCCCCACACACACACACAATCCATGTGCCACTATATATTTCCCCCCACACACACACACAATCCATGTGCTACTACATATTTCCCCACACACACACAATCCATGTGCCACTAAATCTTCCCCCACACAAATAAAATCCATGTGCCTGTAATATCTTTCTGTGAAGAATGAACATCATCTCAAGGTTTAGGGTCAAGGTTGTGCTCGGGGGTGGGGGTAACCAGAAACCTGGTCCAGTACAGCTGTGCTGTTGATCAGATGAGTTCTGGGACATGTTTGTGTGGGAGCACCCGGCAACCACCCGGTGTCATATTATGTTTATGTGGAAACACCTAGCAATTACTGATGGTCATTATTTTGTGTTTATGTGAGAACAAGTGGCAACCACCTGATGTTTTTATGTTGTGTTTATGTGGGAACAGGTGACAACCACCTGGTGTTATTATGTTGTGTTCATGTGAGAACAGATGGCAACCACCTGGTGTTATTATGTTGTGTTCATGTGAGAACACGTGGCAACCACCCTGTGTTATTATGTTATGTTTATGTGAGAACATGTGGCAACCACCCGGTGTTATTATGTTGTGTTTATGTGGGAACAGGTGGCAACCAACTGGTGTTATTATATTATGTTTATGTGGGAACAGGTGGCAACCACCTGGTGTTATTATATTATGTTTATGTGAGAACAGGTGGCAACCACCTGGTGTTATTATATTATGTTTATGTGAGAACAGGTGGCAACCACCTGGTGTTATTATATTATGTTTATGTGAGAACAGGTGGCAACCACCTGGTGTTATTATATTATGTTTATGTGAGAACAGGTGGCAACCACCTGGTGTTATTATATTATGTTTATGTGAGAACAGGTGGCAACCACCTGGTGTTATTATATTATGTTTATGTGGGAACAGGTGGCAACCACCCTGTGTTATTATGTTATGTTTATGTGAGAACAGGTGGCAACCACCTGGTGTTATTATATTATGTTTATGTGAGAACATGTGGCAACCACCTGGTGTTATTATATTATGTTTATGTGAGAACAGGTGGCAACCACCTGGTGTTATTATGTTGTGTTTATGTGAGAACAGGTGGCAACCACCTGGTGTTATTATGTTATGTTTATGTGGGAACAGGAATAAATCTTTATTAGAATTGCAGAAAACAAGGGTTGAGGTTTTTGCAAATGATATCATGGGCCCCATACATTAGTTCTGCAGACTCACCTCCAGTTGGAACCACTGGTCTAGAGTCTGTGAGGCCCTAACTCTGGAGACCCTAATACAGTGGTTTCTGCCATGTGACTGTTAACCTGTACATGTTTCAGCATGAAGACATCAGCCCTGTGGTTTCTGCCATGTGACTGTTAACCTGTACATGTTTCAGCATGAAGACATCAGCCCTGTGGTTTCTGCCATGTGACTGTTAACCTGTACATGTTTCAGCATGAAGGCTTCAGCCCTGTGGTTTCTGCCATGTGACTGTTAACCTGTACATGTTTCAGCATGAAGGCATCAGCCCTGTGGTTTCTGCCATGTGACTGTTAACCTGTACATGTTTCAGCATGAAGACATCAGCCCTGTGTTTTCTGCTCTGTTACTGTTAACCTGTACATGTTTCAGCATGAAGGCATCAGCCCTGTGGTTTCTGCCATGTGACTGTTAACCTGTACATGTTTCAGCATGAAGGCATCAGCCCTGTGGTTTCTGCCATGTGACTGTTAACCTGTACATGTTTCAGCATGAAGACATCAGCCCTGTGGTTTCTGCCATGTGACTGTTAACCTGTACATGTTTCAGCATGAAGACATCAGCCCTGTGTTTTCTGCTCTGTTACTGTTAACCTGTACATGTTTCAGCATGAAGGCATCAGCCCTGTGGTTTCTGCCATGTGACTGTTAACCTGTACATGTTTCAGCATGAAGGCATCAGCCCTGTGGTTTCTGCCATGTGACTGTTAACCTGTACATGTTTCAGCATGAAGACATCAGCCCTGTGGTTTCTGCCATGTGACTGTTAACCTGTACATGTTTTAGCATGAAGGCTTCAGCCCTGCTAGAGCTGATGCTCAAGGTAGCAGAGAAAGCCTCACTGATCGCAAAAATCATCCGCAAGGAAAAGCCGCTTGTGGACCTCCTGATAGAAGAGAAATCTGGTCTAGAGAAGAACAGCCGATTCTTCCAGGACTTTAAAACTTTGGCTGATGTGTTGATTCAAGAAACAGTTCGTCACTACATCAGCCAACAGGTGGGTCATCTCTTAATCTAACCACACCTATCTGTCAAGAACCTCCTTTACTGCCATGCAGGCATATGGCTCAGTAGGCTATCCTGAGACATGACTATGCCAACACCGTCATAGTATACACATAGGTCTTTAATATACTTTGCCAGAAATCGCCACTAGTTTGCCTCAGATATGGGTGGCAACCCTTTCCTAACCGGCTGTGAGGGCTTTAGGATCACCCCCACACACTGGTCGTCCAGCTGTATCTAGCGAAACCTTGGTTTGAACCCACTCCTCCGATAGTATCCCCAGTATTACTGCACGGTTATAGCTAGCATGCGCTGACAATGTCACATAAACCAAACAAGTCCCTTGTGAACCACTTTACCAACACATCGCTGAATGCATCAGTGAATACAAGAATGTATCAACCTAATCAACTAAAGAGCTAAACACCTAATCACAAATCATTTTTGCTAGTTAAACAGCTAACACATTCCAAGTCCATCAGAAACTAGTGGACTCAGTTAATTCACTCACCATGGTGCCCTTGTCGGAGTCTCCATGCATCTCTGAACACGCAGTCATTCTGGGGACAAACACTTACTAAGTCCTCCATTCATCATCATCATACTTGCACATCTCATACATCTGACACTGTAGCCTGTGGGATTTTCTTGTTTGTTTGTCTCTTTGTCATTCTTCTTCTGCAGCCAGACAGATGACAGCTCAAGCACTGCAGCAGGAACTGGGGTTATTTACCAGATACTGTGGGGTGGGGTATCAGGGGCTCAAGTCAACTCAGCTAAGGAAAGCTACAGTGACATGCTTAAACAAGATCCAAACTGGGAAACTCCTTCTAGAATGGGTTGACAGTATCCAGATGTCCTGCCTTAAGAAACTTTCTTGGCTGTACACACCAGGACATGTTGGCGTTAAAAGAAATGAAAGAGCTGACAGACTGACCGAATCTGCAATGGTTGGTGGAAGAAGAAGTATGGACAAAGCAAACATTCTGAATGTGCTGCGACACACCTAAAGACATTTGCTGTGGGAGAGGGAGCATCTATGGGTATGCCTGGTGTGCTATGACGTCAGTTCTTAAATCAGTAATCAGTAATTAGAGATGTTGAGCTGAAGGAGTCAGCGACAATGAACCGCCTGTTGGAAATAGGTATTAAATGAGAAAAAGCATTCAAAAATCAGTTGTGGAGCACAGAAAAATCTGTCAGTCAGCTCCTACTGGGTACATTAAATGTGAAGACACTGAGATGTGGAGCACAGAGAGAAGATCTGACAGTCAGCTCCTACAGGGTACATTAAAGGTGAGGACACTGAGATGTGGAGCACAGAGAGAAGATCTGACAGTCAGCTCCTACAGGGTACATTAAATGTGAAGACACTGAGATGTGGAGCACAGATAGAAGATCTGCCAGTCAGCTCCTACTGGGTATGTTGAAAGTGTGGACACTGAGATGGCTGCTGCATCGGAGGTTGGAGAACCAGTAGGTTGCACTGATGTGCTAGGATGGACAGCAGGTAACAAGTTACAAGTGCCTCTAGGTAGCAGATGATGTTAGAGTTGAATACACAGACACGGGTTGCTAAGACAGTCAAACAGATCTATACTAAAGATGAACAAGCACCTGAAGTGAAGGATATCACAGTCCTCTACATAATCATGAGAGTCTGTGACTAGACATGGAGCTTGATGATCCTCCCACTCTAGCTGTCCATCTGCTGCTGCAGGCTGTATGTCTGCATTGATAGATCCTTGTTTACCCCTTTCATCAATCGTTTCCTGGGTCTGCTCTTTTCCCTTACCCCCATAACATGCCCTCTAGTACTGCCTTAACTTCTTGTGCGGTTGGTTACAACATAGTTTTTGCTCATGCTGACACACACAAATGACTGATTGACATTTTTTGCTATAAATGGACCTGAGCTCCCAGGTGAACCTAGCGTGAATGGGTTTGAGGAAATGTCCAGGAAAATAAAAGTAGCTGTTGTGATGACCACATTCTGCACAGGCTTACTGGTCTGAACACATATGAGGCTAGCAACATATACCTGATGCATCTCTAGCATGAAAAGGGTCATTGACTTGACTGACTACATGTATGTCCCTGATGTTTGTTGTTAACCTTGTACACATCATATTTGACTGACTACATGTATGTCCCTGGTGTTTGTTGTTAACCTTGTACACATCATATTTGACTGACTACATGTATGTCCCTGGTGTTTGTTGTTAACCTTGTACACATCATATTTGACTGACTACATGTGTTCCTGGTGCTTGTTGTTAACCTTGTACACATCATATTTGACTGACTACATGTATGTCCCTGGTGTTTGTTGTTAACCTTGTACACATCATATTTGACTGACTACATGTATGTCCCTGGTGTTTGTTGTTAACCTTGTACACATCATATTTGACTGACTACATGTGTTCCTGGTGCTTGTTGCTGCTATTGTACACATCATATTTGACTGACTACATGTGTGTCCCTGGTGTTTGTTGTTGATCTTGTAAACATCATATTTGACTGACTACATGTTTTTGTGTTTAACCTTGTACACATCATATTTGACTGACTACTGGTGTCCCTGGTTGTTGTTAACCTTGTACACATCATATTTGACTGACTACATGTATGTCCCTGGTGTTTGTTGTTAACCTTGTACACATCATATTTGACTGACTACATGTGTGTCCCTGGTGCTTGTTGTTAACCTTGTACACATCATATTTGACTGACTACATGTATGTCCCTGGTGTTTGTTGTTAACCTTGTACACATCATACTGACTACATGTATGTTTGACTTGTTGTTAACCTTGTACACACATATTTGTGACTACATGTATGTCCCTGGTGCTTGTTGTTAACCTTGTACACATCATATTTGACTGACTACATGTATGTCCCTGGTGTTTGTTGTTAACCTTGTACACATCATATTTGACTGACTACATGTATGTCCCTGGTGTTTGTTGTTAACCTTGTACACATCATATTTGACTGACTACATGTGTGTCCCTGGTGCTTGTTGTTAACCTTGTACACATCATATTTGACTGACTACATGTGTGTCCCTGGTGTTTGTTGTTGCTATTGTACACATCATATTTGACTGACTACATGTATGTCCCTGGTGCTTGTTGTTAACCTTGTACACATCATATTTGACTGTGTAACTACATGTATTTGTCCCTGGTGTCCCTTGTTGTTAACCTTGTACACATCATATTTGACTGACTACATGTATGTCCCTGGTGTTTGTTGTTAACCTTGTACACATCATATTTGACTGACTACATGTATGTCCCTGGTGCTTGTTGTTAACCTTGTACACATCATATTTGACTGACTACTGGTGTCCCTGGTGTTTGTTGTTAACCTTGTACACATCATATTTGACTGACTACATGTATGTCCCTGGTGCTTGTTGTTAACCTTGTACACATCATATTTGACTGACTACATGTATGTCCCTGGTGTTTGTTGTTAACCTTGTACACATCATATTTGACTGACTACATGTGTGTCCCTGGTGTTTGTTGTTAACCTTGTACACATCATATTTGACTGACTACATGTATGTCCCTGGTGTTTGTGTTAACCTTGTAAACATCATATTTGTACACATGTATGTCATGTTTTGACTTGTACACATCATATTTGTGTTACCTTGTCCCTGGTGTCCCTGGTGTTGTTGTTAACCTTGTACACATCATATTTGACTGACTACATGTATGTCCCTGGTGTTTGTTGTTAACCTTGTACACATCATATTTGACTGACTACATGTATGTCCCTGGTGTTTGTTGTTAACCTTGTACACATCATATTTGACTGACTACATGTATGTCCCTGTGTTGTTGTTTGTACACATCATATTTGTACACATCATATTTGACTGACTACATGTGTGTCCCTGGTGCTTGTTGTTAACCTTGTACACATCATATTTGACTGACTACATGTGTGTCCCTGGTGCTTGTTGTTAACCTTGTACACATCATATTTGACTGACTACATGTATGTCCCTGGTGCTTGTTGTTAACCTTGTACACATCATATTTGACTGACTACATGTGTGTCCCTGGTGTTTGTTGTTAACCTTGTACACATCATATTTGACTGACTACATGTATGTCCCTGGTGTTTGTTGTTAACCTTGTACACATCATATTTGACTGACTACATGTGTGTCCCTGGTGTTTGTTGTTAACCTTGTACACATCATATTTGACTGACTACATGTGTGTCCCTGGTGCTTGTTGTTAACCTTGTACACATCATATTTGACTAACTACATGTATGTTTTTGGTGTTTGTTGTTAACCTTGTACACATCATATTTGACTAACTACATGTGTGTCCCTGGTGCTTGTTGTTGTACACATCATATTTGTACACATCATATTTGACTGACTACATGTGTTGTAACCCCTGGTGTTTGTTGTTAACCTTGTACACATCATATTTGACTGACTACATGTGTGTCCCTGGTGCTTGTTGTTAACCTTGTACCATCATATTTGACTGACTACATGTATGTCCCTGGTGTTTGTTGTAACCTTGTACACATCATATTTGACTGACTACATGTGTTTGTCCCTGGTAACTATATGTTGTTGTTGTTAACCTTGTACACATCATATTTCACTGACTACATGTGTGTCCCTGGTGTTTGTTGTTAACCTTGTACACATCATATTTGACTGACTACATGTGTGTCCCTGGTGCTTGTTGTTAACCTTGTACACATCATATTTGACTGACTACATGTGTGTCCCTGGTGTTTGTTGTTGTACACATCATATTTGACTAACTACACATACACATCATATTTGACTGACTACATGTGTGTCCCTGGTGCTTGTTGTTAACCTTGTACACATCATATTTTGACTGACTACCTTGTACATGTGTGTCCCTGGTCCCTTTGTTGTTAACCTTGTACACATCATATTTGACTAACTACATGTATGTCCGTGGTGCTTGTTGTTAACCTTGTACACATCATATTTGACTGACTACATGTGTGTCCCTGGTGTTTGTTGTTAACCTTGTACACATCATATTTGACTGACTACTCCCTGGTGTTTGTTGTTAACCTTGTCCCTGGTGACTTGTTGTCCCTGGTGCTTGTTGTACACATCATATTTGACTGACTACATGTGTGTCCCTGGTGTTTGTTGTTAACCTTGTACACATCATATTTGACTGACTACATGTGTGTCCCTGGTGCTTGTTGTTGATCTTGTACACATCATATTTGACTGACTACATGTGTGTCCCTGGTGTTTGTTGTTGATCTTGTACACATCATATTTGACTAACTACATGTGTGTCCCTGGTGTTTGTTGTTGATCTTGTACACATCATATTTGACTGACTACATGTACCTTGTCAACATCATATTGGACTACATGTGTCCCTTGTTTGTTTAACCTTGTACACATCATATTTGACTGACTACATGTGTGTCCCTGGTGTTTGTTGTTAACTATTGTACACATCATTTGTTTTGACTTACTACATGTGTGTTACCCTTGTACACATCATATTTGACTGTGTGCTGCTTTTGTTGTTGTACACATCTTGTACACATCATATTTGACTGACTACATGTGTGTCCCTGGTGTTTGTTGTTGATCTTGTACACATCATATTTGACTGACTACATGTGTGTCCCTGGTGTTTGTTGTTGATCTTGTACACATCATATTTGACTGACTACATGTGTGTCCCTGGTGCTTGTTGTTAACCTTGTACACATCATATTTGACTGACTACATGGTGTGTAACCTTGTACACCCTATTTGCTTGTTGCTGCTATTGTACACATCATATTTGACTGACTACATGTGTGTCCCTGGTGTTTGTTGTTGATCTTGTACACATCATATTTGACTGACTACATGTGTGTCCCTGGTGTTTGTTGTTGATCTTGTACACATCATATTTGACTGACTACATGTGTGTCCCTGGTGCTTGTTGCTGCTATTGTACACATCATATTTGACTGACTACATGTGTGTCCCTGGTGCTTGTTGCTGCTATTGTACACATCATATTTGACTGACTACATGTGTGTCCCTCCCTGGTGCCCTTGTACACATCATATTTGCTGCTATTGTACACATCATATTTGACTCATATTTGACTGACTACATGTGTATCCCTGGTGCTTGTTGCTGCTATTGTACACATCATATTTGACTGACTACATGTGTATCCCTGGTGCTTGTTGCTGCTATTGTACACATCATATTTGACTGACTACATGTGTGTCCGTGGTGCTTGTTGTTGATCTTGTACACATCAAATTTGACTGACTACATGTGTGTCCCTGGTGCTTGTTGCTGCTATTGTACACATCATATTTGACTGACTACATGTGTGTCCGTGGTGCTTGTTGTTGATCTTGTACACATCATATTTGACTGACTACATGTGTATCCCTGGTGCTTGTTGCTGCTGTTGTACACATAAAATTTGACTAAATACATGTGTGTCCCTGGTGGTTGTTGCTGCTATTGTACACATCATATTTGACTGACTACATGTGTATCACTTGTATTTTCTGCTGCATGAACAGGTTCCTGAAATGGGTTCTAGCATCTATGGAGAAGAAAGTAATAAGTTCACAAATGTAGTTGGGGACACAGTGGTTGTGGAGATTTGTGATACATGTGACCAAACACAAGAACTACTCAGTGAGTGTCTGTGCCTCCCTTGTGCTGTCTGCTAACATTGTGGTCACCTTGTTCTTGTCTGACTGGTGCTGTCTGCCAACATTGTAATCATCTTGTTCTTGTCTTACTGGAGATAGATGTTGGCTGGTTTTCTCTGTTTGTGGAATGTTTCCTGTGACTTGCACTTATTCAAGTGTGGAACATTCTGTGCGACTTCCAATTGTTCAAGTGTGGAACATTCTGTGTGACTTCCAATTGTTCAAGTGTTGAACATTCTGTGCGACTTCCAGTTGTTCAAGTGTGGAACATTTTGTGCGACTTCCAATTGTTCAAGTGTGGAACATTCTGTGCCACTTCCAATTGTTCAAGTGTGGAACATTCTGTGCGACTTCCAATTGTTCAAGTGTGGAACATTCTGTGCGACTTCCAATTGTTCAAGTGTGGAACATTCTGTGCGACTTCCAATTGTTCAAGTGTGGAACATTCTGTGCGACTTCCAATTGTTTAAGTGTGGAACATTCTGTGCGACTTCCAATTGTTCAAGTGTGGAACATTCTGTGCCAATTCCAGTTGTTCAAGTGTGGAACATTCTGTGCGACTTCCAATTGTTCAAGTGTGGAACATTCTGTGCGACTTCCAATTGTTCAAGTGTGGAACATTCTGTGCGGCTTCCAATTGTTCAAGTGTGGAACATTCTGTGGGACTTCCAATTGTTCAAGTGTGGAACATTCTGTGCGACTTCCAATTGTTCTGGTGTGGAACATTCTGTGCGACTTCCAATTGTTCAAGTGTGGAACATTCTGTGCGACTTCCAATTGTTCAAGTGTGGAACATTCTGTGCGACTTCCAATAGTTCAAGTGTGGAACATTCTGTGCGACTTCCATTTGTTCAAGTGTGGAAAATTCTGTGCGACTTCCAGTTGTTCAAGTGTGGAACATTCTGTGCGACTTCCAATTGTTCAAGTGTGGAACATTCTGTGTGACTTCCAATTGTTCAAGTGTGGAACATTCTGTGCGACTTCCAATTGTTCAAGTGTGGAACATTCTGTGCGACTTCCAATAGTTCAAGTGTGGAACATTCTCTGCGACTTCCAATTGTTCAAGTGTGGAACATTCTATGTGACTTGCCATGTGATCTTCTGACTGATGTGGGCAGCAACCCACTCCTCAGCCCTGAATGTTTAGTGTTTCAGGTATGATCGACCAGTTTCTAGAGGACAGGTGGGGAAAGGATTTTCTGTGGTTAGTAAAGGATCACATTGATTGCCTACAGGTAGAGGATCAAGGATCACATTGATTGCCTACAGGTAGAGGATCAAGGATCACATTGATTGCCTACAGGTAGAGGATCAAGGATCACATTGATTGCCTACAGGTAGAGGATCACATTGATTGCCTACAGGTAAAGGATCACATTGATTGCCTACAGGTAAAGGATCACATTGATTGCCTACAGGTAAAGGATCACATTGATTGCCTACAGGTAAAGGATCACATTGATTGCCTACAGGTAGAGGATCAAGGATCACATTGATTGCCTACAGGTAAAGGATCACATTGATTGCCTACAGGTAAAGGATCAAGGATCACATTGATTGCCTACAGGTAGAGGATCAAGGATCACATTGATTGCCTACAGGTAGAGGATCAAGGATCACATTGATTGCCTACAGGTAAAGGAGGAAGGATCACATTGATTGCCTAAAGGAGGAAGGATCACATTGATTGCCTACAGGTAAAGGAGGAAGGATCACATTGATTGCCTACAGGTAAAGGATCACATTGATTGCCTACAGGTAAAGGATCACATTGATTGCCTACAGGTAAAGGATCACATTGATTGCCTACAGGTAAAGGATCACATTGATTGCCTACAGGTAAAGGATCACATTGATTGCCTACAGGTAAAGGATCACATTGATTGCCTACAGGTAGAGGATCACATTGATTGCCTACAGGTAAGGGATCACATTGATTGCCTACAGGTAAAGGATCAATGATCACATTGATTGCCTACAGGTAAATGATCAAGGATCACATTGATTGCCTACAGGTAAAGCATCAAGGATCACATTGATTGCCTACAGGTAAAGCATCAAGGATCACATTGATTGCCTACAGGTAAGGGATCACATTGATTGCCTACAGGTAAGGGATCACATTGATTGCCTACAGGTAAAGGATCACATTTATTGCCTACAGCTAAAGGATCACATTGATTGCCTACAGGTAAAGGATCAAGTATCACATTGATTGCCTACAGGTAAAGGATCACATTGATTGCCTACAGGTAAGGGATCACATTGATTGCCTACAGGTAAAGCATCAAGGATCACATTGATTGCCTACAGGTAAGGGATAACATTGATTGCCTACAGGTAAGGGATCACATTGATTGCCTACAGGTAAAGGATCACATTGATTGCCTACAGGTAAGGGATCACATTGATTGCCTACAGGTAAAGGATCAAGTATCACATTGATTGCCTACAGGTAAAGGAGGAAGGATCACATTGATTGCCTACAGGTAAAGGATCAAGGATCACATTGATTGCCTACAGGTAAAGGATCAAGGATCACATTGATTGCCTACAGGTAAAGGATCAAGGATCACATTGATTGCCTACAGGTAAAGCATCAAGGATCACATTGATTGCCTACAGGTAAATGATCACATTGATTGCCTACAGGTAAAGCATCAAGGATCACATTGATTGCCTACAGGTAGAGGATCAAGGATCACATTGATTGCCTACAGGTAGAGGATCAAGGATCACATTGATTGCCTACAGGTAAAGGATCAAGGATCACATTGATTGCCTACAGGTAAAGGATCACATTGATTGCCTACAGGTAAAGGATCACATTGATTGCCTACAGGTAAAGGAGGAAGGATCACATTGATTGCCTACAGGTAAAGCATCATGGATCACATTGATTGCCTACAGGTAAAGCATCAAGGATCACATTGATTGCCTACAGGTAGAGGATCACATTGATTGCCTACAGGTAAAGCATCAAGGATCACATTGATTGCCTACAGGTAAAGGATCACATTGATTGCCTACAGGTAAAGGATCACATTGATTGCCTACAGGTAAAGGAGGAAGGATCACATTGATTGCCTACAGGTAAAGCATCATGGATCACATTGATTGCCTACAGGTAAAGCATCAAGGATCACATTGATTGCCTACAGGTAGAGGATCACATTGATTGCCTACAGGTAAAGCATCAAGGATCACATTGATTGCCTACAGGTAGAGGATCACATTGATTGCCTACAGGTAAAGCATCAAGGATCACATTGATTGCCTACAGGTAAAGGATCACATTGATTGCCTACAGGTAAAGGATCACATTGATTGCCTACAGGTAAAGGATCACATTGATTGCCTACAGGTAAAGGATCACATTGATTGCCTACAGGTAAAGGATCACATTGATTGCCTACAGGTAGAGGATCACATTGATTGCCTATAGGTAAGGGATCAAGGATCACATTGATTGCCTAAAGGTAAGGGATCAAGGATCACATTGATTGCCTACAGGTAAAGCATCAAGGATCACATTGATTGCCCACAGGTAAAGCATCAAGGATCACATTGATTGCCTACAGGTAAGGGATCACATTGATCGCCTACAGGTAAGGGATCACATTGATTGCCTAAAGGTAAGGGATCACATTGATAGCCTACAGGTAAGGGATCACATTGATTGCCTACAGGTAAAGGATCACATTGATTGCCTACAGGTAAGGGATCACACTGATTGCCTACAAGTAAAGGATCACATTGATTGCCTACAGGTAAGGGATCACATTGATTGCCTACAGGTAAGGGATCACATTGATAGCCTACAGGTAAGGGATCACATTGATTGCCTACAGGTAAGGGATCATATTGATAGCCTACAGGTAAGGGATCACATTGATTGCCTACAGGTAAGGGATCACATTGATTGCCTACAGGTAAGGGATCACATTGATTGCCTACAGATACCATCTCCCTGTTCCCCATGTGGGTTCTGGGGCCTCTGTTTGCAGTAAAAACAGAATGGACCACTGCCCCCTAGCAGGCAGGCCATAACAGTTAACTCATTAGGGGTATGCTGAAGTCATGTATGTTAGGCCAAAAGGCACAAATTGTACAGCCTAGCTGTAAACCACAACCCCACATGCCAACCACCTTGTTAAGGGTGAACAAAGAAGAAGAAATCTCCACATGTGCTCCATTGTGCTGGCCTAGATCAGAATTGGAACTCTTCATTTGCTACTGAAGATGGGGACGAAGTGCTTATGTGCGTGTCCCGAGTGCTATAATGTCGATTCTTAATTCAACATTTATTTATTTATGTCATATTGCATTTCTGTAGTGTCCCTTTTACTTCATCCACCCATCTCTTTCTTGGTCGGCCTCTTGCTGTCGGGATGAGTAGGTGTAATGATAGTGAACTATTACATATGAATGAGTTGACCCTCAATCAAACTCAGAGACAGATCGGGCAGTTTGACCATGGAATAAACTGTGTCGACTGAGCTGAGCTAAGCTCTATGCCCCACTAGTAACACGAGGTACAGCGCGTCAGAGATGAACGCTGAAGAGGAACAAAAGGCTTGGAGAGAGCTTGTTCGGGGAGTTGGGTTGTAGGACACTGGACTGGACAGATGTAGGACGCCGACGGGTAACATTTATCTTAGTTTAGCGTCAGCTAAATTAAATAGTATTTGTGGTTAGTATTTTGAGATAGGCTGTGTTTCCACATAATGTTTTGACAAGATAGTGCAGAGTTAATGTTCAGTGTTGGTATGAAGTTTTAAGGAGATTCCTAGTGATCATCTCTGGAGCTAGAGAGTTTGTGTTTTAAGCGAAACTGTCAGCAGACGACCACCTGTGTTTTGGAGAGAGACCAAGCTAAGTGTTCAGTGAAGTTTTTTCTCTGGAATTTCATTGAACAGCTGAGTAGTGGACAGCAAAGAGGAATAAGCTTCAAGTAGATTAGTGAGTCTTCATGCATAGACTAGTGGAGTACACCAAACACAGACCATCGGAAGGTAAGGGAAAGCCACTGCTGTAGTCATCACTATAACAGTCATGTTTCACGCTCTAACAATGTCACGTGGCTGGACCCTGGAGAAAACAGATCATGATATGTAGCAGTTTACTGTTGTCTGTGTTTTTTCAGAGACAGTGTTGAATGGACACGATGAAGCTGCCCGATTGTTGGCCGAAGCTGTCCACTGTCATTTAAACAACATCTGTTTGACTACAGATGCTGACCTCAGTGTGGACATAGACACCAGTGACTGTGGTATCTGGATTGATCCTATTGGTATGAACATGTTTTGTTTTCACATTCTGCAACACATGATCACTGCTGACTCAAGTAAAAGCTGATATACTGAGCTCAGAGTGTCACGGTTAGTCTTGAGTTACACATGTATTTAGCTCAGAGATCAGTGTGTCACAGTTAGTCTTGAGTTACACATGTATTTAGCTCAGAGATCAATGTGTCACAGTTAGTCTTGAGTTACACATGTATTTAGCTCAGAGATCAGTGTGTCACAGTTAGTCTTGAGTTACACATGTATTTAGCTCAGAGATCAGTGTGTCACAGTTAGTCTTGAGTTACACAAGTATTTAGCTCAGAGATCAGTGTGTCACAGTTAGTCTTGAGTTACACAAGTATTTAGCTCAGAGATCAGTGTGTCAAAGTTAGTCTTGAGTTACACAAGTATTTAGCTCAGAGGCTAGTATCACAACTAATTACACAAGTATTTAGCTGAGAGTCCAGTGTCGCCGCTAGTTACACAAGTATTTAGCTCAAAGGTCAGTGTCACAGCTAGTTACACAAGTATTTAGCTCAAAGTCCTGTGACACAGCTAGTTACACAAGTATTTAGCTCAGAGGCCAGTGTCACAGCTAGTTACACAAGTATTTAGCTCAAAGGTCAGTGTCACAGCTAGTTACACAAGTATTTAGCTCAAAGTCCTGTGTCACAGCTAGTTACACAAGTATTTAGCTCAAAGGCCAGTGTCACAGCTAGTTACACAAGTATTTAACTCAGAGGCCTGTGTCACAGCTAGTTACACAAGTATTTAGCTCAAAGGCCAGTGTCACAGCTAGTTACACAAGTATTTAACTCAGAGGCCAGTGTCACAGCTAGTTACACAAGTATTTAGCTCAAAGTCCTGTGTCACAGCTAGTTACACAAGTATTTAGCTCAAAGGCCAGTGTCACAGCTAGTTACACAAGTATTTAGCTCAAAGTCCTGTGTCACAGCTAGTTACACAAGTATTTAGCTCAAAGGCCAGTGTCATAGCTAGTTACACAAGTATTTAACTCAGAGACCTATGTCACAGCTAGTTACACAAGTATTTAACTCAGAGGCCTGTGTCACAGCTAGTTACACAAGTATTTAGCTCAAAGGCCAGTGTCACAGCTAGTTACACAAGTATTTAACTCAGAGGCCAGTGTCACAGCTAGTTACACAAGTATTTAGCTCAAAGTCCTGTGTCACAGCTAGTTACACAAGTATTTAGCTCAAAGGCCAGTGTCACAGCTAGTTACACAAGTATTTAGCTCAAAGTCCTGTGTCACAGCTAGTTACACTAGTATTTAGCTCAAAGGCCAGTGTCACAGCTAGTTACACAAGTATTTAACTCAGAGACCTGTGTCACAGCTAGTTACACAAGTATTTAACTCAGAGGCCTGTGTCACAGCTAGTTACACAAGTATTTAGCTCAAAGGCCAGTGTCACAGCTAGTTACACAAGTATTTAACTCAGAGGCCAGTGTCACAGCTAGTTACACAAGTATTTAGCTCAAAGTCCTGTGTCACAGCTAGTTACACAAGTATTTAGCTCAAAGGCCAGTGTCACAGCTAGTTACACAAGTATTTAGCTCAAAGGCCAGTGTCACAGCTAGTTACACAAGTATTTAACTCAGAGACCTGTGTCACAGCTAGTTACACACGTATTTAGCTCAAAGGCCAGTGTCACAGCTAGTTACACAAGTATTTAGCTCAAAGTCCTGTGTCACAGCTAGTTACACAAGTATTTAGCTCAAAGGCCAGTGTCACAGCTAGTTACACAAGTATTTAACTCAGAGACCTGTGTCACAGCTAGTTACACAAGTATTTAACTCAGGCCTGTGTCACAGCTAGTTACACAAGTATTTAGCTCAAAGGCCAGTGTCACAGGTAGTTAAACAAGTATTTAACTCAGAGACCTGTGTCACAGCTAGTTACACAAGTATTTAACTCAGAGGCCTGTGTCACAGCTAGTTACACAAGTATTTAGCTCAAAGGCCAGTGTCACAGCTAGTTACACAAGTATTTAATTCAGAGGCCAGTGTCACAGCTAGTTACACAAGTATTTAGCTCAAAGTCCTGTGTCACAGCTAGTTACACAAGTATTTAGCTCAAAGGCCAGTGTCACAGCTAGTTACACAAGTATTTAACTCAGAGGCCTGTGTCACAGCTAGTTACACAAGTATTTAACTCAGAGGCCTGTGTCACAGCTAGTTACACAAGTATTTAACTCAGAGGCCTGTGTCACAGCTAGTTACACAGAGGTCAACTTCACAGCTTATAACACAAGACCTTACAGCCTACTGTTTTTGTTTCTAGCCGTCTTGTCTCAGATTTGGAACTTGTACAAGAAGACCTTATCTTTCATCCATATTCTAGACAGCAGGTTATCTGACCTGTTGACTCAAGCGATCACAGCAGACTAGGATATCTTTATACACGTGCACATGCTCACACACATGTGCACACATACATGAGCACACTAGTGTCATCACAAGTCTGTAGTCACCATAAGTGATCAGCCTTTGGTACCTGGTGTTGTCATCTGGTGACCACCAGTGTGAGAGCTGTGATCCCTTCAACAACCTGTAGCTAAAGCATGGTGCTCACCAATCAGTCTATGTCCTCAGACTCGACAGGCCAGTACATCAAAGGGAAGAAGGGCAAGCTCAGCGAATGTGGCCTGGTGGAGGATGGGCTCCAGTGCGTGGCAATTCTCATTGGCTTGTTCCAGAAGTCCACAGGAAAACCAATTCTTGGCGTAGCCGTGCAGCCATTTGCAGAATTTCATAAAGAGACAAACAGGTAATTATCAAACACCTGCACATGTGACCTGAACATTGGAAATCTAAATGTTCCTGTTCTGTGTGTGATATTGTAGGGACTGGACTGACCAACATTCTATAGCAAGCTCTTTGCAGAATGTTGCATTTCACAACTGTTTTCTGATGATCTAACACTCAAGAGAGCTTCTTTTAGAGTATCGTATTTGTCATTTGTGCTTTTTGGGAATCCCTCCTACACATTGTATGCTTAATCTGTCAAGGACTGAAAAAGCCTGAGGTTTCCATCATTGTGTTTCAGTCACAGATAAGCTGCCAGTGTGGTATTGGTTCCAGCCCCACAAGTGGAATGAAGTGTTTAGCCGAGGGAAGTGTGCACTGTGTCAGAGCGTGCAGATGAATGCACATGGAGCAAAAACCATAGACTTCAGTACAAAACCATAGACTTCAGTACAAAACCATAGACTTCAGTACAAAACCATAGACTTCAGTACAAAACCATAGACTTCAGTACAAAACCATAGACTTCAGTAAAAAACCATAGACTTCAGTACAAAACCATAGACTTCAGTACAAAACCATAGACTTCAGTACAAAACCATAGACTTCAGTACAAAACCATAGACTTCAGTACAAAACCAAAGACTGTTTCCCCTCTGATTGATGTTTCCCCTACCCTGAAGAGTTAGAGGGGCTTGTGTGTCCCAGTGACCCTAAGAGCTACGCTGACGGTAGCTTGGCTACTAGTAGGGTCTCCCATGTCAGACAGGTCGAAGGAAAGGAACCATATGAACAGCACTACACCTTAATTTCATAATGTCACAAATTAAAATGTATATGTGATATGGTGCCATTTTCACGGAATCCCACCAATGCAGAGACATTGCCAGGCTCCTTGCCTCCATAGGACCCACCCAACACTACTGGTGTGCACCTACCCCTGTGCTGTGGAGTCAAGGCACAGGGAATTAGGGTAAAAACTAATGTCCTAACATCCAGCACACTCAATGTACTACTGTGAAACACTGAAGAGATCTGACATTTTTTTTAAAAATCTCTTTAACAAAGCACCTTTGTGGAGACAAAATTGACGTGGCATGCATCCAAGGAACACACATCCAAGGGACACACATCCAAGGGACACACCTCAATGGCTATCACAGATTTTCAATCAAGCTATTTGCTATAACAAGGATGAGCACAAGGGAAGCATTCTGACTTCAAAACTCAAAACCAAGCAGTGAAGTTCTTGTGAATTCACATTACGAATCAGAAATTTTAGGCTTTGATGCTGTGATAAAGGAGAAGATCAGAATAAACAAAGGAAAAGCCCCCCAGGCATGGGAAAGAAGTTATACTGATACCAGTCCAGAAGAATGGAAAAGACCTGGTAGAACCGAAAGCCTTTCGAGCAGTCAGCTTAGTTGTTTAGGAAAATTGATATAAGTAACAGCTTTATGGGGCATCTCAAAGAAAAACACCTGCTAACTCCACAACAGGCTGGATTTAGAAAGTCCAAATCCACTGAAGATCAAATAACATATATAGAGGATGTTCTTTCAAGAGAAAAAAATATACAAGCAGTCTGGTTAGACTTTAAAAAAGGCATTTAATAAAGTATGGAATGAGTGGCTGAAAGTGAAATGACAAAAAAAAGGCAGATGTGTGGGATAATGTACACTTGGATTAGTTACTACCTTGAGAATAGAACTACCTGCACACAAGTACAAGGACACATGGATCAGTTACTACCTTGAGAATAGAACTACCTGCACACAAGTACAAGGACACATGGATCAGTTACTACCTTGAGAATAGAACTACCTGCACACAAGTACAAGGACAAATGGATCAGTTACTACCTTGAGAATAGAACTATCTGCACACAAGTACAAGGACAAATGGATTAGTTACTAACTTGAGAATAGAACTACCTGCACACAAGTACAAGGACACATGGATCAGTTACTAACTTGAGAATAGAAAACTACCTGCACACAAGTACAAGGACACATGAATCAGTTACTAACTTGAGAATAGAACTACCTGCACACAAGTACAAGGACAAATGGATTAGTTACTAACTTGAGAATAGAACTACCTGCACACAAGTACAAGGACAAATGGATTAGTTACTAACTTGAGAATAGAACTACCTGCACACAAGTACAAGGACACATGGATCAGTTACTAACTTGAGAATAGAACTACCTGCACACAAGTACAAGGACACATGGATCAGTTACTAACTTGAGAATAGAACTACCTGCACACAAGTACAAGGACACATGAATCAGTTACTAACTTGAGAATAGAACTACCTGCACACAAGTACAAGGACACATGGATCAGTTACTAACTTGAGAATAGAACTACCTGCACACAAGTACAAGGACACATGGATTAGTTACTACCTTGAGAATAGAACTATCTGCACACAAGTACAAGGACACATGGATCAGTTACTACCTTGAGAATAGAACTACCTGCACACAAGTACAAGGACACATGGATCAGTTACTATCTTGAGAATAGAACTATCTGCACACAAGTACAAGGACACATGGATCAGTTACTATCTTGAGAATAGAACTATCTGCACACAAGTACAAGGACACATGGATCAGTTACTATCTTGAGAATAGAACTACCTGCACACAAGTACAAGGACAAATGGATCAGTTACTACCTTGTGAATAGAACTACCTGCACACAAGTACAAGGACACATGGATTAGTTACTACCTTGAGAATAGAACTACCTGCACACAAGTACAAGGACACATGGATCAGTTACTATCTTGAGAATAGAACTATCTGCACACAAGTACAAGGACAAATGGATTAGTTACTACCTTGAGAATAGAACTACCTGCACACAAGTACAAGGACAAATGGATTAGTTACTACCTTGAGAATAGAACTACCTGCACACAAGTACAAGGACTAATGAACAACAAAATTGGTGTTAGAGCAAATGAGGTATTGTCATCTTGCTTGTTCTGTGCATATATCAGTGCCACTACAGACAATTTTGCAACCAGAGCTCACACCTCTTCCTTTGCAGATGACTCAACTATATCAGCTAGCAATGGAATATCAGTGAAGAGAACAAAATCTTTAGTGTTCTCACTCTCAGATTAACAACAACAAAAGCCAGCCAAGCTTCATGTTTAATGGGAAAATACTGCATCAAGAAAACAAATACCTCAACATCACATTTGACTGACTTTAAAGGCACATAGTGGCAAAATTAGATGTAAATGTTTAGGTGTGAAATTAGATGTAAATGTTTAGGTGTGAAATTAGATGTAAATGATGAGGTATGAAATTAGATGAAGTGTGGAATCAGATTTATAATATTAGATGCAGGTGAGGAAGTATGACATTACATGTAGGTGATGAGGCATAACATTAGATGTAAATGATTAGGTATGTAAGTGATGAGATATATTATTAGACGTAATTCATGATGTATTATATTAGATGTAAGTGATGAGGTAGGGCATTATATGTAATTGATGAGGTATCACATTAGATTACATGTTGAGGTATGATATTAAGTATAAGTGATGATGCAGGACATTAGGTGTAAGCGATGAGGTAAGATATTAGATGTCAGTGAGGATGTATGGTGTTAAATGTAGGTGATGAGGTATGATATTAGGGGTAAGTGTTGAAGTATGATATTAGGTGTAAATGATGAGGTTGATATGTTTAAGTGATGATGTAGGATGTGTGTAAGTCATGAGGTGTGACAGGTGTAAGTGATGAGGTATGATATGTGTAAGTGATGAGGTAGGATATTATGTGTAAGTGATGAGGTATTAGTTAGTTAGTTAGTTAGTTAGTTGGGTTATCCTCATTGCACTCCGGACATGTCCATAGGTGCTCAGATCCTCCCCTCAGTATGAACCCCAACGTCCGATGGCTAATAGTACCAGTTCTATGTTGATTAACAAGTCTTCTGGCGTAGCTGGTGTGCGTCTCGTTTTTTGCTGTGCCGATCTTAATTCCCAAGTCTGCCATTCTGGCGAGTGATGTGGATTCACTGCCACCAAAGTCCTCAATTCTTCCCATTTCTCTGAGGGCATTGATAATATCAGCATGATCCATAGGCTGACCGTCGGTAGTGATAGCGGATCCAGCCAACCTGTCAGCTCTTTCATTTCCATCGACGCCTGCGTGTCCCGGAACAAAAATAAAGGTGACTCCACGAACAGTGGACTTCTGTAATGATTCAAGCCATTGTCTTCGCACTGAACCTGCCTGAACCCTCCGGATCATACTCATTGAATCACTGAGTATACACACGCGGGTGTATTTTTGTGGATATTATGTGTAAGTGATGAGGTAGGATATTATGTGTAAGTGATGAGGTAGGATATGTGTAAGTGATGAGGTATGATATGTGTGAGTGATGAGGTATGATATGTGTAAGTGATGAGGTAGGATATTATGTGTAAGTGATGAGGTATGATATGTGTGAGTGATGAGGTCGGATATTATGTAAGTGATGAGGTAGGATATTATGTGTAAGTGATGAGGTATGATGTGTGTAAGTGATGAGGTATGATGTGTGTAAGTGATGAGGTATGATATGTGTAAGTGATGAGGTAGTATATGTGTAAGTGATGAGGTAAGATATTATGTGTAAGTTATGAGGTATGATATGTGAAAGTGATGAGGTAGGATATTATGTGTAAGTGATGAGGTAGGATATTTTGTGTAAGTGATGAGGTAGGATATTATGTGTAAGTGATGAGGTAGGATATTATGTGTAAGTGATGAGGTAGGGTATTATGTGTAAGTGATGAGGTATGATATGTGTAAGTGATAAGGTATGATATGTGTAAGTGATGAGGTATATGTGTAAGTGATGAGGTAGGATATTATGTGTAAGTGATGAGGTATGATATGTGTAAGTGATGAGGTAGGATATTATGTGTAAGTGATGAGGTATGATATGTGTAAGTGATGAGGTAGGAAATGTGTAAGTGATGAGGTAGGATATGTGTAAGTGATGAGGTAGGATTTTATGTGTAAGTGATGAGGTATAAGATGTATTTGATGAGTGATGATATTAGCTGTACGTGATGAGGTATGATATTAGATGTCACAACAATGAACCAAAGGATCAGGATGTAGAGGGCTCGGGCATACCTTAAAATATGTGCTGATAAGAAACACCCACTGCATCAAGCGCTTTTTAGTGAAAAGGGTGACAGACTGATCATGGCTAGATCGGGCAGAAGATGTTATTAGGCAAATATGCAGCCTAACCGACATCATACCTGGTGCAGAATGGATACCTGTGCCTCAGGCGTTTATTTGTACATTTTCCTGTATTGTCACACTCAACAGGTGATGTAGAGAAGAGAATCCTGATGCTGTTAATGCAGAGGTCAACGCTCTCATCAGTGAAAATTCAGACGAAGCAGATGCACTAATCTATACAGACGGATCCGTTATACGCCAAAGAAGAAGTGCATGGGCATTCACAGCACGCTCAGCGGGCAGAACAGTCAACAGCGCCTTCTCCATGACAACCAGCAGCATGACGATGGAGGTGATGGCAGTGACGCAAGCGTTTGCCTGGCTTGAAACACAAAAATACACCCGCGTATGTATACTCAGTGATTCAATGAGTATGATCCGGAGGGTTCAGGCAGGTTCAGTGCAAAGACAATGGCTTGAATCATTACAGAAGTCCACTGTGCGTGGAGTCACCTTTATTTTTGTTCCGGGACACGCAGGCGTTGATGGAAATGAAAGAGCTGACAGGTTGGCTGGATCCGCTATCACTACCGACGGTCAGCCTATGGATCATGCTGATATTATCAATGCCCTCAGAGAAATGGGAAGGATAGAGGACTTTGGTGGCAGTGAATCCACATCACTCGCCAGAATGGCAGACTTGGGAATTAAGATCGGCACAGCAAAAAACGAGACGCAGACCAGACACGCCAGAAGACTTGTTAATCAACATAGAACTGGTACTATTAGCCATCGGACGTTGAGGTTCATACTGAGGGGAGGATCTGAGCACCTATGGACATGTCCGGAGTGCAATGATGATAACCCAACTAACTAACTAACTAACTAACTAACTAATTAGATGTGATAAGAAAGCATATTATGTGTAAGTGATGAGATAGGACATTAGATGTAAGTGATGATGTAAGTGATATTATGTTTAAGTTATGAGGTGTGATAATAGATGTTAAGTGATAATATTAGATGTAAGTGATGAGGTATTATATTCTGTATAAGTGATGAAGTATGACATTAGATGTAAGTCATGAGTTAAGACATTAGATGTAAGTGATGAGGTACGACAGTAGATGTATTTGATGAGTGATGATATTATGTATTAGAAATGAGGTATGATATTAGATGTGATAAGATATGATATTATGTGCAAGTGATGAGATATAACATTAGATGTAAGTGATGAGGTAAGTGATATTATGTATGAGTTGCGAGGTATGATAATAGATGTTAAGGGATGATATTAGATGTTAGTGATGACATTAGATGTAAGTCATGAGGTGAGACATTAAATGTAAGTGATGAGGGATGACATTTGATGTAAGTGATGAGGTATGATGGTAGATGTAATTGAGGAAGTATGTCATCAGTCTAACTGATTGTCCTGTTTCCCTTGCAGCTGGAAGTCCATAACTATTTGGGGTATATGCTATAATGGTGTGAAGACAACGTCCCTGCAGGCGGCTGAACCCTCGGCACAGGGCAGGGGTAAGGTGTTGTTGAGCAGCAGTGAGTCGGAGCATGTGAAGACAGCTCTGGCCACCAAGTTTGACCTAGTCTTTGCCTCAGGAGCCGGCTACAAGATGCTGGCCACAGCTCTGGGCCTGGTCAATGCTTATGTACTGTCACATCGCACTGTCTACAGATGGGACTGTTGTGCTGTGCATGCCATCCTGCTAGCTCTCGGGGGTGGCATTGTTAGCTACAAACATGCTCTAGAAGCTCTCAGCCAGTCAGAAGATCCCTTGACTGAAGACCATCTCACCAAGTTACAGGTGCAGTACACGCGGGCCGGAGGAACCATCAGCAACAGACGTGCTTCCATCTGTGGGGGAACTGAGAGCCTGCCAGGCATCGTTGCCTACAGGTCTATACCTGACGTTGTTGCTGTGTTGGAACTACTCAGAGAGTGAATAGATGGCCTTCCAGATCATGTTTGATGCAAACATGCTGACTGATTGTTGAATTACAGATCATGTTTGATGCAAACATGCTGACTCATTGTTGAATTACAGATTGTCTTGGATAAGGACATGGCTACTCATTGTTTGTTTTACTGTTTGTAGCTTGGAACAAACATGATTTCTTGTTGTTTTACTGTTTGTAGCTTGGAACAAACATGATTTCTTGTTGTTTTACTGTTTGTAGCTTGGAACAAACATGATTTCTTGTTGTTTTACTGTTTGTAGCTTGGAACAAACATGATTTCTTGTTGTTTTACTGTTTGTAGCTTGGAACAAACATGATTTCTTGTTGTTTTACAGAATGTGTTTGATACACATGTGGCTACTCATTGTTGTACAGTTTGCATTTTGATACAGTTATGACTATTTTACAGACTATGTTTGATACAGATATGACTATTTTACAGACTATGTTTGATACAGATGTGACTATTTTACAGACTATGTTTGATACAGATGTGACTATTTTACAGACTATGTTTGATACAGATATGACTATTTTACAGACTATGTTTGATACAGATATGACTATTTTACAGACTATGTTTGATACAGATATGACTATTTTACAGACTCTGTTTGATACAGATATGACTATTTTACAGACTATGTTTGATACAGATATGACTATTTTACAGACTATGTTTGATACAGATATGACTATTTTACAGACTATGTTTGATACAGATATGACTATTTTACAGACTATGTTTGATACAGACATGGCTACTCATTGTTGTTTTACAATATGTCATTTAATAGAAACATGGCTCCTTGTTGTTTTACAATATGTCATTTAATAGAGACATGGCTCCTTGTTGTTTTACAATATGTCATTTAATAGAAACATGGCTCCTTGTTGTTTTACAGATCATGTTTGATACAGGTGTGGCTAGTCATTGTTCGTTTACAGTTTGATACAGAAAAGACAACTTTTTGGTGTTTAATGGATTGTGTTTGATATAGACATGGCTAAACAGTGATATTTTACAGATTGTGTTTGATTCAGAATGTGTTTGATAAACTTGTTGTTTTACAGATTGTGATTGATAGCAGCATGGCCACTGTTTTTCAAACTGTTATTGATAGGGGCATGGCCAGTTTTACAAATTGTGATTGATAGAGGCCTGGCCACTCATTGATGTTTTACAGATTGTGAGTGATAGAGGCGTGGCCACTTATTGATGTTTTACAAATTGTGAGTGATAGAGGCGTGGCCACTGTTTTACAGATTGTGATTGATAGAGGCATGGCCACTGTTTTACAGATTGTGATTGATAGAGGCATGGCCACTGTTTTACAGATTGTGATTGATAGAGGCATGGCCACTGTTTTACAGATTGTGCTTGTTAGAGGCAGGACTGCTGGTGGCAACCAGCAGTAACACATAACAGTGTCTAGCATGTTGGCCTGCCAACCACTGTGGTCATAAGTTCAAATCCCAAATTCAACTGGCTATTAACAAGCATGAGGTATAGAATACAAAACTATGGGTTCGCTGAAATGAGATGTATTAGGAGGTCGCAGCCTAACTGTAAACCACAACACAGTGTGCCTGCTGCTCTTGTTTAAACATTGGACATAACTGTCAGTGCTGCCATTTCCTTCTGAATGACTCTCTCAGTTTTTCTAAGCTAATAACTCCCATTCTGTTCTAGTGGATATATCCACAAGTGGCTCCACTGTGGTTTTCTTGTCTCGCTGCTCCAATTGGTACACCCAGGGTTCGCAATCTGGGGTGAAAAATCAGGTTTCGTGAATTTGAAAAGCTTTTATGGCATTAAGGATATCTCTCCTGACCATAGAATGCCTAATCGTGATAGTCGCTCTGCCAGCCAGGGCGTCTGCTCTCTCATTGCCTTTTACATCATAGTCTGGTACAGAATAGAAGGTAATTGTGTGAATTACTACATGCTGAATAAGATGGAGCCACTGTTACTCGCAAATTCTCCAATGTTTTTGTTTTTCTGAGTCTTTAAAGTGCTATTTCCCTATCATTTTGAGTTTTGTACATTCATCATTTCACCATCCAAATATATTCTTATTATTGTTATTTATTATTGTTTAATTCTTTAGTTTGCTCCCTTCAGGTTTAATGTGCTCTGCTATATTATGGTTTGGTATGTTTTTAGTGCAGCTTTTAATAAAGAATTGCATATTCTCTCAGCAAATGATTCTATACTGTCTTCTTCTTTTTTTTTTTTTTTACCTATATTGATTCTATACTGTCATGTTCATTTTTTATCTATACCTATTCACTCTAATTCCTCTAACAATGTATCCCATTTTTATAGTTGAATCTTGCTGTTTGGTTTCAGTAATGTTTTGTGGTTTCGTTTTAGTATAAATTACTATGGGAAGGTGGTCACTGATTGTTTCCTCCTTGACTCTCCACTGGCTGCCTGCTAGTTTTGAAGTTCTTCTTTTTTAAATTCCATGCGGTGTGGTATTGGTAGTCATGTTTATCCACAACCTTCTGTCTCACGTACTTCCAATCACTCTGACACAGATGATCCTCCATGCCATGATGTCAGACTGTCTAGCATCTTTTCTCTCGGTCTCTCTTTCTTCCCCTCCAGCTTTCCTACTGTCAAGATGTACTCCAGTTTTCTCCTTCTCATCCCATGACCAAAGAATGTAGATTGTCTCCCCCTGATGTGAGCAGTCAGTTCTTTTCGTGAGTCAGTTTCTTTCAAGACGTCTTTATTACTCTTTTTATCTGTCCAGGGTATTCTTATCATTCGTTTATAAAACCACGTCTCTGCAGCTTCCAAAATTTTTAAATTAATCTACCAACTGTCCATGATTAACTTCCATATATCAAACTGGTATCTATATAGCTTTTGAGAATTCTTTTTTCTCTTTCAGTTGACAAAGAAAGATTGCATAAAATACTCTTCATTTTGTAAAATGCTGCCTTTGCTTTGATTTGATGAGCTGAGATTGAGAAGATCATGACACTGTTGGGCAGCTCTCATTCATTGACTACCTGAGCTATCCACACACATGTCTACAGTATTTGTTGACAACCACACAGTTCACATTGACTACCTGAGCTATCCACACACATGTGTCTACAGCATTTGTTAGGAACCACACAGTTCACATTGGCTACCTGAGCTATTCACACATGTGTGTCTACAGTATTTGTTGACAATGACATAACTCAAATTGACTAAGTGAGGTATTCATACATGTGTGTCTACAGTATTTGTTGACTACCACACAGTTCACATTGACTAAGTGAGGTATCCACACATGTGTCTACAGTATTTGTTGACTACCACACAGTTCACATTGACTAAGTGAGGTATCCACACATGTGTGTCTACAGTATTTGTTGATAATGACATAACTCAAATTGACTAAGTGAGGTATTCATACATGTGTGTCTACAGTATTTGTTGACTACCACACAGTTCACATTGACTAAGTGAGGTATTCATACGTGTGTGTCTACAGTATTTGTTGTACCACACTACAGACTATTTGTGTGTCTACTGACTACCACACAGTTCACATTGACTAAGTGAGGTATCCACACATGTGTGTCTACAGTATTTGTTGACTACCACACAGTTCACATTGACTAAGTGAGGTATCCACACATGTGTGTCTACAGTATTTGTTGACTACCACACAGTTCACATTGACTAAGTGAGGTATCCACACAGGTGTGTCTACAGTATTTGTTGACTACCACACAGTTCACATTGACTAAGTGAGGTATCCACACATGTGTGTCTACAGTATTTGTTGACTACCACACAGTTCACATTGACTAAGTGAGGTATCCACACATGTGTGTCTACAGTATTTGTTGACTACCACACAGTTCACAGTGACTATTTAAACTGTCTATGCATGTATGTGTTGATAAGCCATATTTTGTTCACAAATGTTACCTGAAATGAAAGTATTGTTTCAAGAATTGAGCAAGAAAAGATAAATTGTATTCGGCAGCCTGACTTGGTGTGGGCATCTATGATGTAAATATTGTACTTAATGTTGGTGGACAGACATCTCAAGTGCCACATGATTGTCTTTGCTGCATGGTTGTCATTGCTGCATGGTTGTCATTGCTGCATGGTTGTTAGTTCCACATGGTTGTCAGTGCTACCTAGTTTTCTGTGTTGCCTGCTTGTCAGTGCTGCCTAATTTTATGTTGCCTGCTTGTTTGTGCTGCCTGGTTTTCTATGTTGCCTGCTTGTCTGTGCTACCTGTTACAGTAAGAGATGTTTAGTCTCCTTGTCAGTATGGATGTTATAGTAAGAAATGTTTAGTCTCCTTGTCAGTATGGATGTTATAGTGAGAGATATTTAGTCTCCTTGTCAGTATGGATGTTACAGTAAGAGATGTTTAGTCTCATTGTCAGTATGGATGTTATAGTGAGAGATGTTTAGTCTCATTGTCAGTATGGATGTTATAGTAAGAGATGTTTATTCTCCTTGTCAGCATGGATGTTACAGTGAGAGATGTTAAGTCTCCTTGTCAGTATGGATGTTACAGTAAGAGATGTTTATTCTCCTTGTCAGTTAGTTAGTTAGTTAATTGGGTTATCGTCATTGCACTCCGGACATGTCCATAGGTGCTCAGATCCTCCCCTCAGTATGAACCCCAACGTCCGATGGCTAATACTACCAGTTCTATGTTGATTAACAAGTCTTCTGGTGTAGCTGGTGTGCGTCTCGTTTTTTGCTGTGCCGATCTTAATTCCCAAGTCTGCCATTCTGGCGAGTGATGTGGATTCACTGCCACCAAAGTCCTCTATCCTTCCCATTTCTCTGAGGGCATTGATAATATCAGCATGATCCATAGGCTGACCGTCGGTAGTGATAGCGGATCCAGCCAACCTGTCAGCTCTTTCATTTCCATCGACGCCTGCGTATCCCGGAACAAAAATAAAGGTGACGCCACGAACAGTGGACTTCTGTAATGATTCAAGCCAT